GGCGGACCTAAACAGATGAGTTTTAAGGGACTTTTTGAAAATGGACGAGGTTTCACTATGACGTATATGGAAGGGGAGCTGGTTCCAGAACGTGGGCCCATGGAAGCAGAAGGAGCGTTCACCGATGTTTGACAGTGCTGTCCATTGCCAATCAGAGATCTTCTTCACCTAAAAACATTTCTAGGACCTCAGCTGATAATAACATATAATGTAATAAGAGGAATTCTTCAAACATGTCTTGGCACCAAAAGAGATTTGATTACTGGTATGGAATAGGAATATTCGCTGTAATTTTGGTTCAAGTGCACCTGCTCATCCTATCCATGTTTTAGAAGAAAAAAACAGCAACCTTATTTCACATTCACAGTTGTTGAACATGATTATTTTTTTCTCTTGAGTTCTTGTATTTATTTTCATGGCTCGTTTAAAAAAAAAAGAACTATTTCGGTTGATTGTGATGTTGTATTTATTGATCATGCAAATGAAATCTGAAAATTTTATCAAATTCATCACAGTGGCATAGTTAGGGATGGTGTCACCCGGTAAGGCAAACTCATTGTGTCGTTGTCGCTGTCGTGTGTGTCGTCGCGCCCGCCCCCCCTCCTAACCCCCCCCCCCCGACTTCCACAATGGATTTGTTCTTGTTAAAATATGTTCACAGTATAATAATGACAAGAAGAAGAAAAAAAGACCAGGCAGTAAATTTATTTCAGAACTGTCAGAATTTTTACATTAAATTCACTTTACTTAAATTCTCCTTTCCTGGTCTTCAAACCTTTCAATCACTTGATCACAATCAATTTTCTTCACCGCATCAATTTCAATTGATAGGAGATTGATATCAGAGAGCCTTCACTGTCCCATGGTAAATAGTCATTTGTTCTTGAGATGCCTTAGTTTTGAAAAGCTGCGCTCACATGAAGCTACAGAGACACAGATTGTAGGAAACAATTGAAGGCTTTGTGAGATTGGAAGAGATTCTGGGAGGTCCCATTCAGCTATGAATTACAAAACATCAAATACTGACCAGTCCATGACTGTTTGAAATTCAATATCAGCTGCCTTTAGGTGTCTCCTAAGCCTTGATATTTCTTTTAAAAGTTCATCTTCTGGTAACTCATCATAAAAGATGTTCATTTTGGAATGGACACAAATAGCTCCTCTTTACTTGTGATAGTAGACTCTTGGGTTGGACAGCCTCAAGCATATCTGCTACTTCCTTGATCGCTGATGATCTGATCTGGAGTTCAAAATGAAAACAACCAATACTGACCACACAAGATAAGCAAATGGCCCACACATCTATTAAAAATCGTTTTATTATTAATTATTTCCAGAATGGCCTGAACACCTCTATGGATTCCAGACATTGTGGCAGCATTATCGTAACCTTGAGCTCTGCACACCATTATGTCTATCTAGTCCATCAGGTTTTTAGATTTGTAAGAATGTCAGAATTGAGGTCATCTGCTTTTTACACCCTTAAAAGGAAATATCAAGAAATACTTATCTCACTTCAACTTTACCACTGTGGATTTGTCCCTTATCTGATCACTTCAGAAATCTGAAAATTGTGTGATATGTTGTTGATTTGCAAGAACATTTCTAAATTCATTTTTGGGTTTCTTGTGAAAGGAAGATGCAGATGTTTTTTTTTGTAGATTTACTCCTCTTTAGTCTTATAAGGTGCTCTTTTAGCACTGGGTCAAGTTTAGATAGCATCTCAACCAGTTCAAGAAAGTTTCCTCTATTCAATGAAGATTCCTCTTGGTTGTGGCCAGGAAATGCCAGATTTTGCTTTGCAAGAAACAATGTGATATCCAGCGACCTGTGATGGATATCCCTCCACTTTTTCTTCTCCCTGTCCATCACAGCAATACTTTTGGCATCAGTGGTTTTGTTTGGCCTAAGTCCTGCTGCCAATGTTTTCCATTTTTCAGGGCATCATAGGTGCTCTTCGGATGCCTCGTGATTTTGTAATTTTGGGCTCAGTTGCCACCACTTGTCAATCCCAGGAACAAATTTGGATGTGTTACTTTAACATTAATCGCAAACAATATGCAGCAAATACAGTACAATTTCTGACTGATGAGTGAATAAACCATCCACAACATTTTCTTGCAATTTGGCATCATCCTGTAGTACCATTGTTTTGTTAGTTGGCGCACTTCTCCTTTGGATTTCGAATCTTGCCTGTTACTATGCTGAATGATCCGTCCTTGTTCTAAAATGAGGTAGTCCCTATTTAAATAATTTCAGACCGAAAATGATTTGGAACTGGTACATTCCATAAAGAAGCATCTGATAAAATATTTCCAGTTTTTTTTTCAACCATCATAATTAGGCCTACAGTATCTTGGTTTGAATCATCATTATCAGCAGCCATTTCCTTTCCAAACAATCTATGTCTTTTACTTGTATTTCCACATCACTCTCTTCCATTTTCTGCTGTTCTATAGAATGCATGCTGCTGGTATTGGAGGAATCAGTATCAATAATAGGCTGAAGAACGTCTTTTTATGAACTCTGGTCATCATTTGGCTTCTTGACATATCGAAGCATGGATCCTGGTAGTGATTTTAGTCACATCTTTTCTTCCTTGTTTTGCGCTCCTGCAAGCCACTAGGCTGTTGAGATTTGTGCACGCTGTGTGGCATGCTGGAATAATCTTGAACAATAAAAATGCTTAAACAGCCTCATGTTCAAGACAAACAATTACTTATGACAGTTCAAAAACAACAGTCAGAGCACTATCCAAAATACAACACAAAAAGTTGGCAGGTAAAACCCAGCAGCTGTAATGTAACAATCATATTCAAATGTGCTTGTGGTAGTTTATTTTAGTTTAACTGAAGAAGTAAGTTTACGAACATATAGTCCATTCAATTATCTTTCATTTGATACCTCATTTCGTCTTACAAACCCAACAATAATATTTTAAATAGTTTTTTAATCCCAACCTCTCACTTCTGGTACCCGGGTGCGAATAGTCGCAGCCTTCTGTCATTTACAAAAATTACAGAACACCTAAATCGGCGTTGAAACATGGTCAAAACGGTGTTTTTCTGACCTAATTATAGGGTTACCTCCTTTCTGACGCATCAACCTGAATTGGCTAAATGTGTGGAAAATTTATGTCTGATAGGTTATCCTTTTATGAAATTTGGTTAGATCGATCAGTGTGTGCTCTGTAAATATGCAATTTTTCCATTTAGTGTCAACCCTTGAGATGGTGACACATGTTGCGCTCCGCACCCCTCTAGCACTGATTCATCATTAAAGAGATGTTTTTACGTTTTTGAGGGCACAGGATCAATGAATTGATAATTCTGGCACCTATGTTTAACAAGATTAATATTTGAATTTGTATGTTATTTTATATTCTTTACCAAATAAAATTTCTACTCTGACAGCCAACTGGTTTGTTTGTTTTTTATAATTTATTTTCCCCAGTCCACCAATCTTAGTGAAACAAAAGTGTAAATAATTATATTGGTTTTCAAAATAATAAGTACAGTTTTGAAGGAAATTTGAAGGAAAGAAATTGGATACCGGTATATAACATTTTTAGAGCCTTGACAAGTTGACTGTTTTGATTTAAATTTTTATCTTTTCCATTTTTTAATATTTTTTTTTGCATCACGTAAAAAACACCTAACTAAAAACAATAGTAAGTTAATGCTAATATTATTATCGTTTCCTTTTTCTCTAAAAACATTTTTAAAAGTTAATTAGGTTGTTAATTGAGGTACACACATTTGAAAATAAAATGGAATAATAATTTTAACCTGTAAATGAATTTCTTTTAATAAAAAAAACCCAAAAAACATTCATATTACTGTGCAAATTCAATTTGAAAAATTATTTCCAAAGTATAATGTATTTATTCAACCATTTATTCTACTTTTCTAACTAATTTACATAAACATTTTCTTTAAAATAATTGATCTTTATTTAATTTTAAGCAATACAGTTATTTAAAAAGACAATACTTACCAATATCTAAAGCCTTATTTTAAAATGTTTTTATAGAAATTAAAATTGCTAATTTATTAAATTTAAATGTCAGTTTAAAAAATCTGTATATCAAGCATGGTTTTGTGCATTCTATTTATAGCACTGTGGTAATTTATTTTAAAAGACTTGGAATTAAATTTCATTGCAATCATTATAGTAAAGAGAGACAAGAGCATGGCTGGAGATAAACACACAGATTACCTCTGTTGACTGATATTCAAAATTAAAAAAAAAGAAAAGAACCTTAACTTTTCCTGAAGTGGTTGGTAACTTTATCTTCTCATTGGAAATAATGAGTTTATTTATATCAATAAGAAATTTACCAACACAGATTAGGGGAAAACTTTTAAAAAAAACAGCAACCAAAAGCAACCGTTTCAGCTGAAAGCCTTCAACAGCAAACAAGCAGCTGTTTTGCTTCATCTTTTTTCAGGTTTTCCACTTATCCATGATTTACATTTCTTATAGCCCCAGCCTGAACCCAGTCCTGCCCATATTATTATTACACTTGTTTGTATCAAGCTGTTAGGATGCCGGTAACCTTAAAGTTGAAGAAAACTATGTTGAAAGCATTCACCATCATCGCAGTTGTGCTAATAATCAAGACTCGGATCCATATCTTTGATGTCTCACCAGGGTATTTTGTATTTGCGAATGAAATAGAATTCTGACATCACAAAAATCTTTTGTATTGGCAACATTCCCATTGAATCATAAAGTTAGTATTAAAAATTCTGATATATCTACAAAAGTAACACTGGTAATACAGTTTCTTATGACAGAAATAAAATAGACTGTAGAAGAATAAAATGATGTTTAAAATCAATCCTTTTCTGAAACTTTTTTTCAATTTTCCCAAAGCTTGACCAACGGAAAACATTACAACTCAAAATGTTACAACCCCATGTCTCAACCCTGGGAACAGATTTCTTTTTAATTTTCCCATTTTCAGACTTCCGTTGAGGATTGTGTTTCAAATTGAAAGTAACTCTGGCTGTTATTTTTTAAACTATATTTTATTTTTAAAATACATTTTATTAGTTGCTTACTTTGACTTATTTGAAAAGGAAATTTAAACAATTCAGGTTATTAAAATCATTGATTTAGTCAGAGAGATTGAGTATAGTACAATCACTTACAATGATTCACTGTGTACTTAGTAAAAATGTGACAAAATTTCATTTCAAAATATGGGCAATCAAATAAAAGCATAATTCTACAAAAAAAATCAGTGACATATCTTATATTATAGACATTTTAATTAGCCCTCCCACCCTCATTAAGGGAGTGGTTATTATGTAACAGTTTATCTGAGACTCACTTTTGTTATTCTGTTAAATAATAACGGATATTCATTCAGAAATAGAGGTACAAAAGTTTCAAACTTTTAACACAGTGGGAATATCAGTGAATCATAGGACTGTAACATGAATGAGTTTATTTATAGCAATAACACTAACACTTGGAGCGTATAAAAGCATTGGATAATATCTGTATGATAAGCACATCATTGTTATTCTGTAAACAAGAATGGAGAGTATTTATTTAAAAAACATATGATGGTTTGTTTTTTTTTCCCTCTGGAAGACTTCACATAAAAATATTTTCAACAATAACCAGGGTACCCAAATATGAGAATAAGGCTAAGTTTGACAATCTGCGCCATGTCTGTGTAGGATTCTCTCCCTTTTGTATATTATATTTTAAAAATCTGAATGCTTTCACTTCCATATGTTTATCAATGAGAGTGTTTCCTTCAATACAACTGTGGTGTAACAAATGTAAACTGGGGATAACCGACACTGTGTGTTTTATCAGTTACAGGATATTTTCCCTTCATCTTTGCATCTCTCTGCCAGTTGTCATTTAGAAGATCTAAAACTCAATAGTGCATTGAAATATATGTTATAAAACAACTGTTCATATATTAATATATTATAATTTATATGACTTATTTGAAAAAAAATTAAAGTAAATATGAGGTAATTTGATAGTAAAAAAACAAAAGGTCAGAGAGCGTTTGATTTTTCAGAGAATGGTTTTGTTTCCTTTAAGTACAGGTGTGTAAGGAATAGAGGATAAATCTGAACTTATTGTGGTACCTAAGAGTCAAAACAAATCATGACATACAACAAACTTAAGTCCTTTCATAAAATAAACATTTTAGTTTAAAAAGCGGGTAGGAAAAAAATTACATGCCTTCAAAGGAATATTGACATAAATAGATGCCCCCCCTTATTGGACTTATAACCCATTAGTAGAATATGAATGTTTGACAGTTCTCTTCCGCTCAAAGTCTATTTATTAAACAGGTCCAATGATATTCATTTTTGTTTTTAAGTATGAGGTGGTTCAAAGGGTCACCAAGATACAAAATGAGACAAATTTCTTTAAACTTTTTAAAGCACTATTAAAGTTCACAATCTAACAAAGTATCAAGCATGCACAGCTGAATTATTATTTTTCATCAAAACATATTTTCTTATACATGACATCATGGAGTCTTAAATAGACTGACATCAAAGGTGTCTTGAACAGAATGCAATACTACTAGAATACTACTTTAAAAAAGCTTTCTCAGGCCTCGGTTGTCAAAGGGGGGGGGGGGGCTCCCGTCATGTCAAAACAAGAGTAAACAGGGTTCCATTTATTTCCTGCTTCATTCAGGCTTTGCTTCAATTTATTATTATGGTTCATTGGAAGATCCAGATGGAATATAAATCAAAGATCAGGTGGCATTATTTAAAAAGTTAATAAGATAAGATAATATTCTTTTATTGATCCAAACAAATGGAAATGTTGTTTTGACTCCATTGTACATTTTAAATTTTCAGCACATAAATAAAAGAAATTTTAACACAAGACATCTACATTAAACTATTTCACTAGTCAAAAAAAAAAAAAAACACCATTCAGTGAATTCTCTTAGCCATATCAGGGACTTATTAGTTCTCATTAAGCTTTGTGAATTCAGGGGGAGCATGCTGGTAAATTCGAACAGATGGGGGAACAAAAGAATTTTTATTATATCTTTCAGTCCTCGCCTTGACAGAAAGAATTTGTCGCGAACGGCCGATCCTAAGGATCTGTGATGAAGAGAGTGGGATGTATCATTCAAAATTTGTTTACAATCCAATTTTACAACAACATCTTTTTTCTGATGTGACATAACCAAAAAGCAAAACTAGAACTGAAAAATTGTACCCCTTGGTTTTCTATTTACCTCTTTATTATTTTTTGTCTCAGAAGAGCAAATTTTGTTTTCTTTAAAACAGCTAAAGGGACACTCCTGATTACAGTTTTCAGGTAGGAAAGTGAATTGACTTGAGTTTTTTAGAGCTTAAGAAATAAACTTAGAAACAAGGCGTAACAAAACAGATAAGAAATACACAAAGGGTATAGGAAATCCTGAAGAAGGACAATGACAAAAAAGAGAATGTTTCGGACAAAACGCCTTCAACAGCAAAAACAATCTGAATGTGGACATCGCTCTATTTCTCTTGACAAAACAGACTTGGTCATAGTAGTTTCATCAAATACATAAAAATAAAACTATTTTTTTCTTTTTATTGACTTTGGCATTAATATGCCTAACTGTATTTTAATTGAACTCATTGTGAGCTTAATAAAGCCAATATAATTTAGAATGTAATTTGTTTAAAAAGTATGATTTTTCTCAAGTCTTTGATTTGAATGCTGCGGCATCTCCTTTTTACTCAATGACTTTTTATGTATAATTTTTTAATATCATCAAGCTGTTGTGTTGAATAAATACAATAACAATCTCTAAAAATAATTTTTAACACGAAAAATGAACAAGATCTAGAGAAATATAAAAACAAATGTCAAAAAATGATTTTAACAAAAAAAATAGAATGAACATTGTGCAAAATTTGTAAGTACATATATAACAGACTAAAATTTCATTACAAAAACTTTTTTCCCTTACATTGAGTTCATAGCAAGGAGAGACTCATAAAATGTAACATTTGAAATATTGGAGAAGAGTAACAATATCCTCTGACCGGGTTGACAAAAAAATGGCATAAAACAACTTTCAGAGTGGAAACTTTGCAACAACTTTTTAATCAATCACTCGATGGGATGTATCTTAGTCTTATGAACATATCATTGAAGCTATATTTTTAAAAAAGGGTTCACAATTTTTCAAGAAATTTCTGATTTTAAAAAAAAAATAAATTCAAATGATGTTACAAAAAATATTTCGTCTATCGCTGTGACAAAAATTCATTGGAGTACCAGTAATTAAAATTTATTTTTAAAACATTAGCACTATTCTCAGCAACAAATGTTCTGATCTGAAGGGGAAGTGATATTTAATAAGTGGCTCATTTCCAGGTTTGTTCTGGAATCTATAGTTGCTTCTTCTTCTAGCACATTTCAATTTTCTGTCTCACTAGGTTGACGACGGGTATAACCGGCCAATACTTGGCAACGAGCTTCCCAATGAATAAGGGAAATACATAAATCTATGTGCCGCATTGTTGAAAAAATGACTTTTGGGCCAGCTAAGAAGGTGGCGATTTGTCTGAATGCCTCTGGATGTGTCTATTTCCACTTGAAGATTGGTCCTCTTTCGGTCGAACATTGAGGGCAAGCTGATCCGCATTGAGTTTAAACTTATTTGATACAACTAAAAACAAGAAAATGGCCACCAGGTCGATGCCTGCTAACATGTAGAAATAATAGTCCAAGTGACACGACTGTGTGTATGTTAGATCACTGGATGAGTTACAAGGAAGCCTACAGTTGATGTTTCCATAATTGTATCTGTTGAACCACGTTTGGGTAGAGGCCAGGGTGGTCAAAATGGCCGTACCCAAGAAACTACTGATGCCAGAGAAGAAATAGAACAAACCCGTGATGATTGCCTTCATTGACTTGGGAGCCACAGTCACTGCGAACTGAAGACCTGAGGAGTTAAAATGAGAAGGGCACTTTTAATTTTTTTTTTAAACTAAAATTTCTAATAAGAATTTTGTTACTTTAACTTTCTACCAGTAGTGACCGCTGTCACCTCCATAATTCTGATGTGCCTGTTGTCACCTCTTAAACCCCGACAAGCTCCTGCTGTAGCCTTCCAAATTCCCACTACCACCTGCTGTCAATTCCCAAATTCCAAATACCACCTGCTGTCCATTCCCAAATTCCAACTACCACTGGCTTTTGCTCCCTAATGCCCAAAAGTGCCTGCCTACTACGATGCTCGTTCAGGGCACCTAGCAACTTAATTACCACACAGTGGGATACTAAAATTTACTCCGTTCTTGTGATATGAGGCTCTTTGAAAAAAAATATTGAAAAAAATCAAAATATTTCACTATGACTGGTGAACTTAATGACTCCCTAAATTTCCAAAAAACTTGTATGTTTAATTTTTCTTTAACATTGTTAATGAAACAAAGAAACAGTTTTTTTTGTATAAAAAAAATAAAATAATAATCTATGAACTGTGGTTTAACAGAAATAACAATAGGGTGTTTCTAACATTTCTGGTCTTAAGCAGATACAATACTTGCTTGGTCACAGAATGTTGTTTGAACAAACAATAAATGATAAATTGCTTAAACATGCATGCTCAGAGTATGCCTTAACAAATTAAGGAACTGACCTTTTTTTTTTTATAGATCTCTATATAATGCCCTAACTTAGAGTAGTATTTTTTTACCATAGATTTTTGGCATTATATTTGATAATATACTGTAATTTTAAAAAAAAATAGTAGATACCGGTATCATTCTTTTAATCATCACAGTGAGCTTGTAAATTTTAAACATAAGATAAATTAAAAAATAGGACACAAGTATAAAATAATGTGTTTAATAGCATGAACATTTATGGATGGCCACCTAATTTCTAGGAACCATTACTAGTCCCCAACTCAATACCTGGTGGTCTGCCAGATGAAGGTTGAAATGTTGTAAATTTACACAACTAATATATATTATAGAAGGAAAAGAAATGATAGAAAGGGGGGGGGGGGATTAGTAGTATAGTGTGTACCAGAAACATAAAATGTAGGATGTATAAGAAGACATAATTAATAACACGTTTTGGTACGTTGTCTCCATATGGAACGGCCACACTGGTAAAAACTTCACTAATACCGATAAGGGCATACTGGGGAATTTGCCAGAACACTGTCATGTCTGCAGCCTCATACACACTGTTGCCTGGTGAAACATGAAGTAAAAATTAATAATCCAAATACCAGTAACACCAAAAGTGTTCAAACTATTGTGTTCTGAATTCAGAAAGAAGAGAGCAGAATTCTAGTTTTTATTCCAGATGAGTAAACAAGACTCCAAGATTTTTAATACATTCTTCCTTTTTAACATATAATTTCCTCCCTTGTATGTTTAGTATGGACGAGTCATTTAAACCCATCAAATTTTTTTTCTTCTCTTGAGACAAAACCTTATAAGACAGGAAATTTGCTAAAAATTACTGCCAAGACATTGAAACAAAGAGATGAACATAATTATTAATGACAGGCTAAAGGGGATCTTTCTTTCTACCATACCTATCTTCTGGTTGATTGATTGATTCCTACAAGGTTGATCAGGGTAAGGCCAGAAACTCTGGAGTCTGAAATGCTCCACAACTCCAGCAACAATCATGGCAAGCATGGCAAAGACCATGCCCAGTACAATTCTCTTGGTGAATTTGAACGGGTAGCCTGCTCTTGACATGCGTGGGTAGATGACTCGGTCAAACAGTGGCAACAGAATTATCACAAAGCTGGCATCAAATAAAGTGAACCACGCCGCCACAATCTGAGCAAAGGATAAAAATATAATAGTCATTAGTTGAAACAAATTTGAGGCTGTGAACTGAATTACATTGACATTTATTTTGATAATCTGCTTGACAGCATGGAACAAACGTCACACTTGCAACATCCATAGTTTCATGACTTTTCAAAATGCTTTTTTTAAGAATGATGCAATCTCTCGATTATAATAAATTAAGCACATTAATTTTAAGCAGCAGGTCTCCTGAATGATTTTTTGATGTTCCAGGTGTATCTAAAAGATTTCTTTAAAAATCCGGCTTTCTCTTTCCTTCAAAATTTTACTCTGAGCGGTTGTTACATCGATCATAAAACCCTATCAAATTATTTTAAAATGCATAGAATAATTTTATTTTCACATTATGTTAAAATGTTTCATTGACAACACGCTGAGATGTTTAATTGTTGACATACCTTCAAGCATTTTTATTGGTCTCTACCTTATTAAAGCCAAATATTTTATTTCACCACACCATAGCAACCCAATAATAAATTTAAGGAATGAGTAATTGCCAAAAAAAGAAAAAAGCACCAGAAAACAACACAGTATTTGAGAGCAAAGGTGATGAGCGTAAATAAAATGTTTGTTGGCGTATTGTATAAGTGTTAAAGCAATCCTAGAACCAAAATAGGACGTCAATTTAGGATAAGCTAGGTGCAGCTTTGCATTGTATAAATTTATGATTTTGTTTTATGATTTTATAAGTGAAACTAGGCTAAAACCAATTTTATTGCAAGACAAATTTGAGTTCATTAAGTTTTTGAAACTAAGCTAAAATCAATTTTATTGCAAGACAAATTTGATTTTATTAAGTTTCATCATGGAACTTCCAATGGTCGACACATGTATTGCTTCACAAGTTTAAACAATGCTAATAACTTTAAGTAATTAGAAATGACGTTAATCAGTTACCGTACAAAAAAAATCATTGCTGTGTGTTACACTGTTATGCTCAGAAGACTGATGTATTAGATTGTTACTCTCAGAAGACTGGTGTATTAAAATTGTTACTCTCAGAAGACTGGTGTATTAAAATTGTTACTCTCAGAAGACTGGTGTGTTAAATTACTACTCTCAGAAGCCGACCACTGCAGTTTTGGACAAGAAAGCTTGAAAAGTGTATAACCACTCAGAAGCCGACCCGTAAAATCATAAGCCAGTGTAAGCAATAAAAAATATTTAGGTTGATATTAATTATGCTGGTGCTCACAACACGAATAGTTACACTATCTACTGCCAGTAGCTTTTTTTAATTATTCTAGTAACTTATTTGAAACTTGTAGCGCGTAGAATAGAGTAGACTAGGACCTCATCCTAAAATTTCCTATGACTCACAAATAAGCCAAACCACCACCATGTTTTTCCCTGAAATATTTTCCCAAAAAATTGGCTTTAGAACTAGAACAAATAAAGTACATGTAATTAGTTTTTAAAATTTAGACTTATTTTACGAAAGAACACGAATGAAACTAATAGAGTAATTAAAACTGTATTCAAAAGACCTAAAGTATTGGGCTTTAATTGCTCTTTCTAACATGACAACTGAAAACATTCAAATAATTTACAAGCGCACCACCAAGCCAAATATTTTTTTTAAAAATATATTTATTTTCTTTAAAAAAAAAGTACTGTAATATTTGTTTACTTTTTAAGGTTAAATATTTCATATGATGATTTACTAGATATTTTTTATAATATAGTGAAGAGGTTAAATTTTGCATGTGCTATCATGTGCTTATATCAGGGTGCAGAGGTGTTATCATGTGCTTATATCAGGGTGCAGAGGTATTATCATGTGCTAATAACAGGGTGCAGAGATGTTATAGTGTGCTAATATCAGAGTGCAGGGTCTGAATCAATGCAACAGAACAAAATAGAGTAAGGGTTTCATTAACAAGCTTGAAGGGGCAATAACTCATTTTCAGATCTTGTTCAATAATTTAACCAGAAATTTAAAAAATATTAAAGTTAAAGGCTCTTTTTTCCACTGAGCCAAGATGGGACTAAGTGGACCTTACCAATAACAAAGACAGGTGAATTAAAATGGATTTTATTTTCAACTAGTTGCAATTTAGGGACTTTACCTATTTTCTAATTAGCTGCTAATTATAATAATAAAAATAATCATTGCGCTTATATTTGTATATAAATTATATTAAATATTATATTCAGATACAAGTGAAGGCATTTACTTTATTGACAAACAAATATCTCATGAAGTAAAGATAATCGAAATTTTATCTGATGCTTAAAAAATAGTGAATAATATAAATGATGTAAAAATGAAATGGTTTGCTATGCCAAATGTTGGCTGGCTAATTAGATAAGCTTTGATATTTGATACGAGTTAGAACGTTAATTGCTTAAGAGGTGGAAAGTTGTAGGTATTCAATTACTTATTATAATAATAATCTATAAAATCACTATTAATATTAATGTTAAATAAAATAATTTAACCTAACGTAACTGAAATCAGCAGGTTTGTTTTAAACAAATCATTTAATTTTTTTTTAATTGCTTAGATTTTTCATGCTTCTTTAAACTAAATAACTAAACATTTTTTTAAAAATTATTCTTTAAAAGGTTTATAGCATTTAAACTTCGATCACTAACTACTTTATTTTCTCAGCAAACACCCCAAAGAAAGAGAAAATCATTAATAAAACATATAACGGCACACAGACAAAAATGTACCTAAACGGAATCAAAAAGATGGTTATAGTTTTTATAGTAAGAGCTAATTGAACAAACCTCTGGATTATCAGTAACCTGAAATAAGAAGAAATCTTTAAAATAAATAGAGTACACACTTTTAAAAATAACTACCTTGTATAGACTTCTCTCTCTTTTTTTAAAAATTTGTATCAGCCTAAAAACAGGCGGGGTTTTTTTTTTACACACAGTGCAATGGTTGCAATTCTATGAATTATTTAGTTTAGTTATAGCAGCTCCACATCTATTCCAGTTCATTTAGGACCTGAAGCAGATGTCTGAAATTGATGTGCTTACCACATAAGGGGAATTTCATTAACGATGTCACACATCGGGGATGTGGGGGTGTTATGAATTTGTGACGATCTATTAAGATCTAAAATTTTGGGGCGAGTGAGGGGGGGGGGGGGGGGGGGGGGGGGGGGGGGGGGGACTGGTAAAAATCATCGGGAGCCTGGTTTCATCATAGCCTACCGAGATGATTAATAGCTGCATTCTTTCAAAATGTCTAGATATCACTTTCTCCGCTATTACTCATTAGGTACTCATAAGTCTCAGAGATTTTAAAGAAAGTTAAGCTTGTGTTCAATGGATAAAAATGTGATTTTGCTTATCTTACTAGGAATTTATTAAGGAAAAATGTTTTGATAAATCTAAAACATACATCAATCTTTGAAGATGATATTTTTTTTTAAACACAAAATATAATTATAAAAACATTTAGATGAGCATAACCAAGGTCACCAATGGTGCTCTCTCTAACAAAATTAATGTGTCTCATGTATGATTTGTGAAACAAGAAATATTATGTCATAAATGAACTATGAAAAAAGAAGAAGAATCCCAATTACCACAGTTGAGTTGTTGCCACTTAGGACAGAAGAATTGACCGACATGTTGACATGGAAGCCCAGTTTCATGTGAAGACCTTGGAACAGAAATGTGGTCTGCATCTATGTAAACAAGCAACAACAAAAAAAAAAAAAAAATACAAATTAATTACCCGATTATTTACAAAATAAAAAAATTTAAAATAAGTTGTTGCCACTTAGGAAAGAAGAATTGACCGAAATGTTGACATGGAAGCCCAGTTTCATGTGAAGACCTTGGAAAAGAAATGTGGTCTGCATCTATGTAAACAAGCAACAACAAAAAAAAAAAAAAAATACAAATTAATTACCCGATTATTTACAAAATAAAACAATTTAAAATCGTACACCAAAAGTGCTTGAGTAAGATAAATGGATATTAAGTGGCAATCTAGACTGGTGCCAGGTATTTTGACCAGACTTGGTTGAGGGTTTAAATTCATTTACTTGATCGAATTAACTTTTTCCTGTTACTGTTACAGTTTTCAAAGTCCTTGGAGACGTGAGATGATGATTTATTTTCAAGCCTGACACGGTTTCCCCCACCCAGAGATAATGAATTACTTTTAATTGAAAAATAAAATTGGAAATAACCTGAAAATAGACAATCCAGTAAGGGATGAGGACAGCGAACACAGCTAGAATCATCCCCAGTTTTTTCACATCGTCCACAAGAGAGTTGTGAAAAATTCCTCCATGCCTGTGTTTAGCATGGTCCAGAAAACCAATCTTCTCTTCAACTATAGCTTCAACATGACCATGTGTTCTGGAGAGCAAATCAATCTAATTGTCTTGAGGTGAAATCTCATTAGTGTGAGAATCTAATAAAAATGTTACACAAAAGCAACCTTGTGGCCATAACTATAGTTGATCAGATACATTTTTTTTTTAGAAGGTCAAATAAATACACAAATGTAATTTTCATTTGCACAAGATTTATATGTTTAGGCAAAGATTAGGGGCAACCCTTTGTAGAATATGTGACAAATGATAACTTAATTGTTCATTAACATACCCTTGTGGGTCTGACTTCTTGTGAAGCTGTCGAAGTTGTTGCCTCTCAATTTTCCTCTTCCAGGCTTCTCTAATTATCCTGAATATGTTAGATAGCACACTCCCATCTGGTGGTCGACTGATGTAACAGCAGCGACCTGTTGAAGAGAATAGAGAAAAGAATCACCACAGGGCCAGTTACTAAAAGAAGCGTCCAGTGTGCCCTGCTCTTCTAGGGGAAAAACCTCTGCTTCCCAATGAGAGAAGTGGCAGTGGTAGAGGTCAATACATGTAACTTAAAGGACAACTCATCCCCAAAAATTACACAAATTGTTAACACTCATTGATATACAATCTATAACAGTCAATAGTATATTTACAATAATATTCTAACAATTCAGTTTTGATTTCTTTCAAAAATAAATTCTATGTTTGTTAAAATAAGTTAATCCAGTGGTTCTTAACCTTTTTGGCGGTACCGAACCCCACCAGTTTCATAGGCGCATTCACTGAACCCTTCTTAATAGGAAAAATAAAATATGATTTTTTTTTCGGATTTTTTTTTGGACTTCCGCCGAACCCCTGAGACTGACTCACCGAACCCCCCGGGGTTCAATCGAACCCAGGTTAAGAACCACTGGGTTAATCTAAATAATAAAGTCTTCAAAGAGACCTTAAAGCTTGTGGAAATGTCAAAAATCCTCAAAAAAGAAAAAAAAATTAAGAGTCAATAAGAACATACATAACATATGTGCATAAATAAGCTGGACAATAAGTACATAAAATAAGTGACTAAATAAGCTGGACAATAATTACATAAAATATTTGAATAAATAAGCTGGAAAATAAGAACATAAAATATGTGCATAAATGAGCTGGACAATAAGTACATAAAATATATGCATAAATAAGCTGGACAATAAGTACATAAAATATATGCATAAATAAGCTGGACAATAATTACATAACATATATGCATAAATAAGCTGGACAATAATTTAAAAAATATGTGCATAAATAAGCTGGACAATAAGTACATAAAATATATGCATAAATAAGCTGGACAATAAGTACATAAAATATATGCATAAATAAGCTGGACAATAAGTACATAAAATATCTGCATAAATAATCTGGACAATAAGTACATAAAATATCTGCATAAATAATCTGGACAATAAGTACATAAAATATATGCATAAATAAGCTGGACAATAATTACATAACATGTATGCATAAATAAGCTGGACAATAATTACATAACATATATGCATAAATAAGCTGAACAATAAGTACAAAAATATGTGCATAAATAAGCTGGACAATATGTACATACAATATTTGAATAAATAAGCAGCAGTAATTGAATTGTCCACTCACCAAATATAAATACAAGCCCAGAGCATCCCAGTGTAATTGCACCAATGATAAATCCTATTTCAAAGCTATGTTGCTGCTGGATATAGGCAATGGCTCCCAGGCCTACAAAGCTGCCAAAGTTGACGCACCAGTAGAACCAGTTGAAGAAACTCAGCTGAGTTTGTTGGCTGGCTCTAGTAAGCTGTAAGGGAATTATGGTTGAAATATTAAAAATTAAAGGTTGAAACATTTACATGGATTTTGAGCATTTGGACCATGAAATTTTGGATAGCATAAATTGTCCTGTGACATTTTCTCCATACTTATTTTCAGGCTAAAAATGATACAACCATTGAACACCATAACCATCTTACATGCAACATCAAGCTTACCCATGTGTAACCAATAATAAGATAAAGACTTTTAATCAGGACAGTGCCCCCCCCCCATTTCAGCATGAGTTACTGACAATGGACTATTGTTTATATAAGTCCCTCAGTTTTTATTGTCTTTATTCAAAATGCTATGAACTGAAATAATTTAAAATGTGCTTAGTTAAAAATTACACACAGAACTGAATTACTTCATTTTAGACAGCTATAAATTGCACTTAATTTATTAAAGACAATTAAATCATCAATAATGTACTGCAAAGTACACAATTTACTTTTTCTGTTCTATGCATGTCTAATTAATATGATGAGATCAAAAATATTTAATATTTGTAGAGACAAATTATGACAAAACCTGAACAATCTCAATGATCTTTATAGCCGTACAAACTTTTTTACCAGGCAAAATAAGTTATTATTGCATAAAAGAATTACCTGCTCAGATCCAAAAGGACAAAAACTGGCCTTCAGGGTCCCAGCTCCGATGCCAATAATGATTAAAGTCACATAAATGAGCCATGCACAGTTCTCCTCAAAAGGACTCACCACTTCACCTTGAATGGGTGTCACATCAACACAAATCTTTGGTAGCAAATAGTCACTGTCAGATGTATTGCTTGACTGCAATGAGTTATTGGCGGCAGTGTGCGTGTTCTGTGCAATAAAAGGCATGAGCACATAACCACAGATGTAGATGAGGAAAGCCAGCAGCATAGCCTTAAAGCGTCCGAGGCACGAATCTGCAATCCAGCCGCCGATGAGAGAAACTATGTACATAATACCGTAAAACAGGAATAACGCATTCATGGCGTGATACGATTCCCAATTGAAGGGCGTTTTGTTGAGGAAAAGCACCAAATTTCCCGTCAGGCCATAAAAGCTGACCCTTTCTAATACAACTGATAGGAGAATGGCAAAGACAGCGCACCTCACATGCCAGCTGCTGGATGCGTTGGTGGGGAGTAAGCTCTGGATGTTAGAGCTTGAACCTCTGGTCACATCTTGGTTGGCAGTTTTCTGCAACTTGGAACGTCTATTCCCGCCGTTACTAGCTTGACGCGGCACCGAAGAGGAGGAGGGAGCAAAGGGACCTCGTTCCCAGCTCGGATTTACACGCACTCCTAAGAGAGGTCGATTTTCGCTGTCATCCATTTTATTCTAAAGCAGGTTGACTAAGGCTCAGCAGTATGATTCACCAATGAATTCTGAAAAAAAAAAAGAAATACACTTAATGGCATATGGGGTATTTAAATAAAGCAAATAAATATGATCAAAGTAACTCTTTAATTTTACTTAACAAAACTTCTCAACATCTTCAAATTATCTTTAGTACCATTTTCTTGAATTCCTGTTATTTCAGTTTTTCCATCAGTCACAAAATGAACTGAAACAAAGGAAAAATCCTGTGAGCATATTTGTTAAAAGTATCTATGGATGGCATTTATGGATTGTACTCATCTGATATGAGCCTCCATTGTGCTAACTACAGTTGTCTAAAAAGAGTTGAATATTTGTAGCAAAAAATTTAGCATTTGCTTGTTTATGTGTCTCAAATACCAAAATACTGACTGTATCAGTGAAGCATAGTTTTAGCGATGTTAGCAGATGAATGAATACAAATTTAATTTATTGACAAGAATTTTTAAATCTGTGAAAACGTGGCCTTTGGTCATTTGACACACTCCCACTGCTCTGTAATAATGAATCCATGATTCTCATTTGTCATAGTAGAGAGGACCCAGCCTCAACAGCTCCAGTAGATAATAGTGTGTGCAAGCCACTACAGTTAAAATGTTGCAAAATGTGCACTCCTCAATGATAAAGCATTAATATCTTTAATCACTGGGAAGGCCGAATAAGTTATTTTTGCAGGTGACAACAGATTACATAAGTAATCCAAGTGCTAAATTTGCTCTTCATCTTATCTCAGATAGCCACACCACTGTTTATTGTCACCAATCCATTCAGTTGAATACAAAATGAAATTTTCCATATAGTCTTTTTAAAGAAACAATTTTATCTTTTATTTTTAGAGTACCAGGTATTTAGGAAACAAAAACTTTAATTTGTATTTAATTTATACAATGTAATAATTATTATTTAAACTAATTAACGTAATTATATTGATTCACATGCCATCTTTATCACTCATTAGTCTTTTCCCATCACTTTTTAGTTTTTGGTTTTAAAAGTATCTAAATTTAAAGTTTTGTTTAAAAAATCCTATAAGGAAAATTTTGCTTCTTTCTTTGTAGTTAAGGTGATCAACAAGCCCTTACAAATATTAGGTATGCTAAAAAATAAAAGGGAAAATATCACATTTCCAAAGCGATTGTCTCAAACTTTTGCTACCTGTACTTAAAAACAGATTCTTCAAGAGATCCATTTGAACAAAATGAAGATAACATTTCGTTGAATAAAGGAAAGTTACAGAAGCTGAGGAGCTAGTGATAAAATATGGTTCCATCCTGAAAAAAAACAGCTAATAAAAGTAAAGCAAATAGGCTGACTTCTGAAGTGAAAATATCAGCCATGTAATTAATCCTCAAAAAAATTTAGAAATAGGCCCACTTTGGCAAACTTTAGAATTGTATTAGTGAAATAACATCAACTGGATAAAGCTGATGCATGGCACACTGACCAGTTGTCTAATGTAATCAAATTTGCAAAAAAAAATAGTAGTTCAATTTTATGTAGTCAATAGTATTATTCACAGTGAGGAAGGGCTTTATAGATATTGTAGTGTTTTTGTATCTACTAATTATATTACATGCAGTTTTTGACTTAAAGTTTTGACCAACACTATGAGTAAAGTGTTTGTGGCTATGGATCTGTCACTTTAAAGCAGCGGTTCTCAACCTGTGGGTCGCAACCCCTTTGGGGGTCGCACGACCCTTTCCCAGGGGTCGCCTAAGACCATCTGAAAACACATATACTCTACGATTATAAAGTACCAACTAAAACATTTTTGTGGTTGGGGGTCGCCAAAACATGAGGACGTGGATTAAAGGGTCGCGGCATTAGAAAGGTTGAGAACCACTGCTTTAAAGGAATAGATGGAGCTCTGTCTTTTTTTATTAACTATAATTTATGACATCCGGCTCCCAAAATATTTTTATAGCAGATATAATTCATAACCAACAACAAATGCAGGAAATTCAAGAGATGTAGCCACCAATTCAGCACAGCTTAGATTGAACATAAATAAAGCCAGACAAAGATCATAAAAATTAACCCATCAACCAAGACCATATCTCCTTTGCAAGAAATGCACTTAAAACAGTGGAGGCCTTCACCAACTTCTGCAGCAGTATTGACATAAATGTTGGAACAAAAGCAGGTGTCAGGGCCAGAATTGAAAAGGTTTGTTCAGAATTCGTGCTATTCAAGAAAATATTGGAATCCAAGTTAGAATTTTCAGCACAATTTTGTAGTGAGTTCTACCCACTGGACCTGAAACTTGGAGAACAACAAAGAGGATCACTCAGAAAGTAAAGACTTTTATAAACACTTGCCTTAGAAAGATCCAGAACATAAAATGGCCAAACATCATAACAAACAAAAACTTACTGGAAAGGACTTACCCAGAGCCTATTGCTTAAGACCTTACAGGTTAAGATAGGGCAGACTCTTCGTAAACCACCAGATAACATCATGAAACAATCCCTAACATGGAACCCATAGGGGAAAAAGAAGAGAGGAAGGTTAAAGAATACGTGGAGATGCATGGTAGAGGCAGACAACATTTAAGTATGGGATACACATGGAAGCAATTGGAATGAAAAGCACAGGACCAAAATGAATGGAAAACTCTTGTAGACTGCCTATACTATGCTCTAGGGCAGAGGTCACCAAACTTTTTTCATGGCGGGCGGATAACGGAAAAAAATGACGAGCTCCGGCCAGATAATCATTCTGTACAATACTTGCAAGCCAGAACGAAAGCTCTGGGGGGAAAAAGACGAAAAATTAAGTTTAGTATTCCATGTTAATCATTGATGAGGGGCGTGCAATGTAAAAGTATTATAGTTTATGAGCCATCTAATCCATTCCTATGCCTATGACTATGTTACACTATGTCACATAGACTATGTCATGTAGTCAATGTAGTTGTTACTGTGAAATGACTATGACTATAGTATTATATAACTAACTAAACAAGACTAACAATGGAACAATCTTTGTTGACTTTGTATAGCTAACTGACTTAATAAATAAATATTAACATCTTCATTTATTTAATTTATATATATTATTTATTATATATATAAAACTTGTTTGACTTAATTAACATATTAATGCGGGTACTTACTGTTACTTTCAGTAAATATTCCATTTGAAAATTTTAAAAAATACTGTAGTAACAATTAAGGAAGGGGCACTAGGTACAAGTAGTGGTGGGAAATCAAATCATTAAATAAGTGACGGATTCCGTAGATTGGGAATTGGGAAGTAAACAAAATGAAAAAGAGAAATTCCCAGCACAAAAAGTTTTAGTTAAAAATTAGGTCATGTGACACCTTTAATTTTATTCGAAAAATTGGATAATTTAATTGTTACATCTACTTCTAACAATTATAGTAACAATATTTAAATATAATCCCGTCTTATGTCTGATATTATTATATGATAATTATTACTAATGCAATAATAATATAATTATACATTTTGGCAATAATGCTCAACCCCCTCATATATATATATAATATATATATATATATATATATATATAAATATATATAATTTTCGTCTTCAAATTTCAATACAAGTACAAGGTGACCTGTGAACGCTCAATTTCTGCTATTTCCTCCTTATCCATCCCTCCTTCAGCCTCCACCCCATGCCCCCCCCTGGATTGATTCGATAAAAAAATTTTTAGACAAAAATAGACAAAAAAATTATTAAAGTAAAGAGAAAATAAAGAGAAAGTAACTAAGCTGATGTCCTGTCCGTTCGTTCACCATACAAATACGCTACAGTAAATTAAAACTAAATTAAAACATAACTAAATTTTTGTTGCCCCCCCTGGAAAGTTAATCGATTTTTTTTGCCCCCCCCCCTAGAAAATTTTCTGCGGGCCCCCATGCTCCACCCCCCCCCCCCAACTATTTCCCCGCCTACACCTTACCCACTTCAGTCCGTATTCATTATAACATGAAGTATCCCTGCCACCTCTACATTTAAACCACCCCCTCCACCACAACGATTTCATATCCCTTCCACCCCGCAAGCTCAAACCCCTCGACCCATTCCACACTCTCCCCATCCTAATATCCCAGTCTTTCCATATTCTCCACGCTTGTCACATGTCACCTAACTCGTCCAGGCCCCCTTACACCCGTGCCTTATCCATCGTCCTTTCCAATTTAGACCCAATGTGCTATGTGTTATGTGATTCCCTTATTATTAAGCGTACATCCTTCCCCCGCCCCCCCCCCAAAAAAAAATATATGGGGAGCCGGGGCACAGTGAATCAGTAGTAGCGTTTATCATTCAGGATCCCGCACGATTTTAAGTAATGTTAACTTAACCATAAGACTTTCCGGGAAGTTGTACCATCCAGGGAAATCCTGGACACACACTTTTAGAATACAATTTCTTGTTTGTATATATATATATATATATATATATATATATATATATATTTATTTATTTATTTATTTTACCAAGTGAAAGACTGTCACAAAGTGTCAATATAAGCTAAGGCCTGTAAAATTTAGTTAGCTGTAGATTCTATTTGTCGCAAATGACTAGCGCGGTATGTTTGCGATCATTTTGCAGACATGGAACAAGGACGAAGTTCAAGTGCCATGTGCAATCAATATACAGATATTGATAGAGTAGGAATACGATATTTTTAGAATTATGGTAAAGTAAAGTGAGTAACAATAATAACATCGCTGCTTGAACGGATTTGCAAAATCTGTAACATCTATTTTGCATATCAAGTCATGTTGAAAAAGCATGTTCAACAGCACCGACTATGCACTTTTGAACATAAGAAATTACCACCTGCTCCTCAACAACAAAAAAATGATTCAACCAATGAGAGTAGCTGCCAGGAGACAGAGAGAGCTTAAGGCAATTGCTCACACTGACAATGCTTCTATTTTAAGTGCTGAATGGTTAGATGAGAATGATGTTGACTTGTCTGGTATATCAGTTCCACACGATGAAAATAATAAATCAGCCACCATGCCCATTGTTAATGTTACGATAGAGCAACACCTGCCTACTCCATTGGAAGATGATAGCAGCTAGAAACTATACTACAATTGTCAGCTTTACTTAAATAATCATATTTATACTTCCACAAACAATGATATTTAGTAATTAACAACCTTTAAATTGATTCTGCATTATAAATTTTAAGTGTACAAAACTTTTTCATTTGTTGTTTTAATAAGCTAAAGAGGCAATAAAATGTTTTCCTACAATTGTATGTGTCATTTAAATCAGGGGTCACCAAACTACGCCCCTTCTCCTTCGTGAACCACTAAAATTGTATCACCTATACTTACTATACTTGCCCACAGATAACATATAACAGATGTGAATTTCTAAGGAGTTTTCATATTTTATAATAAAGAACTTACACAAACTAACCAATAATTTATATATGAGTACGTCGCGATAGTCTAACCTAGATTTCAAAAGGTGTTTTTCTTATTTTTTCGGCGAACTTGTAATTTTGCTATCGTTGCCCGGTACAGGGTCGTGAGCAAAGTTCCCTTTAAGCTGCGCGGCTACGCGGCCGCGAAGCTATCTCGCAGACGCCGCGCAGCAGTTTTGAGAACCGCGCAGCAAATTTCCATATAAATGTGTGTTTGTGGGCTGTAACATTTTGCACACAAAAAAATGATGCTGTAAAACTTTACACACATCTATATGATTTTGCACACGAACCAACAAACCTTAGAGGGAACATTGGTCGCGAGCCGGCATTTGGGAAACGCTGGTCTGTTGTTTCAACTGGCAACCCCACAGAAATCCCTTCGTGGCCACATTTGAGGTCACATGCAATGATCCGAGAACCTGTGCTCTTACAAAAAAAAAAATGACTTAAAAAAAAAAAAAAAAAAAAAAAAAAAAAAAAAAAAGGTGTTTAAAGAACGGCGCTATAGGTGAAGAAACGGGCAGTTCGGAAATAAATTTATAAAATAGACACAAAAGACGGCTCAAGAATCATTCGTGGTAAAATAATTCTTTTAATTGGTAGACCGGGTGTTTGGATCTTTGGAGATACATTACCAGTAGCTGCATGTTCGTTGACATTTATAGCTTTCTTTGTGATATTCAGTAACTAACTATATACCATGATCTGGATAATTTGAGCCAACATTGTGTGGATTGAGACAAGGCTTTGAGAAGTGGTGATTTACGGGATTTAGATGGATTAGGACTTACTGGTAGAACTGAAAATCTTGAGAGAATGATTCCACGAGAAGTAGGCTACAAACAACATTACAGTGTCTTCATTTGCTTGTGCCACTGACAGATTCTTTTACAAATGATGCTATCACGTACAAACAATGTTGACAGTGCCGGTAACCATAGCAAGTGCAATAAGAAGCTGTGTTTTTTGTTGTTGTTGTTATTGTTTTTTTTTTCAAAATTAAATTTGATAAAAACTTGATATCACAATGTTTGAGAACGAGATATTGTTACCTCCCTTTAACAACGCAGAATTTTAATTTTTTTTTTAATTGCCCGATAAATATTTTTTAACACTATGCAGTCTCTTTAAGAACGTGTATCTGGTTCAGCTTTGACTTTTCCAAAATTTGTTTATGACAACCATGCTTGGAAAAAAAAAAAAAAAAAAGTGCTGCGATGAATAATTGCGAAAATATTTCAATAAAATGTGTAACAAAATTTTAATAATCGTAAAACAGGCAAGTGAATGCCAGGAGTTGCCGGAATGTTTTCATTGTAATGTTATCCACCTCTTAGATGAGTTGCCATACAAGGTTAGCGAGTATCTAAGGTTGAGTCCCATCCACCCGGGGTCGGGGTGCTGGTGACGTTTTTGCTTGACTGGGCTTTGGTGGAATTTAACACCGACGTCTCACCTCTGGTACAACTTGAGAATTGCTCAGTTTAGACCACTCGGCCACAAAGCACCCATTATTACTTATAGCTAATAAAACCCAGTATGACTATACTAGTATCGTAATATCAGATTGGCTGGGGTAAATATATACTATATAACATCAAAGGCCCAGCAAAATTTAATAGGCCATGGGCGCCATGGCATGGCCTGCACTTCTTAGCGCCGGCCCTGATCTGATACGTAGCAATACCACATATTATGTCAGTTTTAAAAACTTTAAAAAATCTAAAATGATTTCTGCAAATTAAATTGAAATCGTTCCCTTTTTTTATGTAACAATTTTTTAAAACGCATGTTACCACCTACAGGTGTGCAGATGTAACTTTCTTGGACAGATCTTTGATCTCGGTAACATTGATTACCGTTGATCACTTTTCTCGTCTAACAGAGTACTCGTTACTGAATACTGATTTCGCACTTAACAGTAGCACATTTTAGAAGACAAAAAATTGTACATTGCCATAAAAAAGTATTATTAACCAAAGATTTATACTTCATCCTTACCATTTTGTTATTTAGATTTTGTGACTTTAAGCTCATCCAACGCGTAAAAAAAAAAAGTATCGACAAGTGTCAAGTTAGTCAAAGAAGCAAATTGTAAGTTAAGAGTAGTGTCTAAGTCTAGTTTTCTAGCCTAAATTCTAATGTCACGACACCATTCCCTATGCCTACAATCACACTTCAAACAACAATCTACTAACAAAGTTATAACTACTATACAAGGTTAACAACAACAAGGTCATGACTGGAGGCAGTGGAGCAGCAATGAAGTCATATTCATATTAACTAGGCGTAGGCTAATTTAATCAGCCACACAACCCTTAACCCTTAGAAAAAGAAAAGCAAACTATTTTAAATAGCCCATTTATATTATAGTACATACTGTCTATACCAGTGGTTCTCAACTTTCCTAATACTGTGGCCCTTTAATACAGCTTTTCATGTTGTGGTGATCCCCAACCTCTAAATAATTTATGTTGCTGCTAAACATAACTGTAGAGTGAATGTGTTTTCCGATGGTCTTAGGCGACCCTTGTGAAAGGGCCGTTCACCAAAGGGGTCGCCACCCACAGGTTGAGAACTGCTGCTCTGTACTGATATACTATAGATAATATCTATGTTCTATATGTACTGCATGGCATATCATATAATTATAATTAATTTTGCTATTATATTTATATACAGTTTTGCCATGTGTCATGATTTGTTATGACAATTCCTCACAAGATCATAGTATCAATAATAATTGTATCATTATTAATTCATGAGTACCACCCTATTTATTGTGCCCTACATGAGTGAAGAAGAAAGATTCTAGTCTTACTATACTACTATACTATAACTATAGTCTATAGTATACTTATAGACCTAGTATAGTGTTTAGGTCTTTTTATATTATATTACTTCTGACACATAAGGATCTGTGAGAACCAACTGTCAACATGACAATTATTACTTAAACTCAACCTATAAAGTTCTTGAGAATCAGTTGAATCAAATATATTTTTTTGTATTTCTGACCTATTAGTCTTATTTTTCATGTCATGAATAGAGCTGTAAAAAATTGGAAAAACATCTGCCCAGGCATCCCTCAACCCACGTAGAAGATAATCAGGTACCCAGCCACGCAAACAAGTTTTAATGAAATATAGGGAGATACTAAACTAATACTATGATTCATATATAATATATCTTCAACTATTAGATCATCACCATTACTTTATACATTGATTTCAATAAATTCTACAGTGATCTGTGTGATTGTTTCATAATTAATCTAAACTTGCTGGTCTAATAAACTTAGCATTTTGTGGCGTTTACTATGAGTTTGGAAAGACAAGCTGAACTTTGAGCGCTCTTAACTTTTTAATGAAAGAAGATATGGAAACATGCAAATTTACTATAAAAGGGCATAATTCGGCAAAAGCAGCAGTAAATTTTAGCAGATGAATTTATGGTAGTTTACTTGCAAGATGCTCAGAACGAGCATCATGTGTGATTTGTCTGACACACCAACGCCTGGCATAGTAGCCGCCAGCCGATAGTGGCAATGAGGTGACAGCAGGCGCTAATGGTAGTAGCGGGCTAAAATAACAAAATAGTTATTTAAAACTTTATTGTTTGAATGATTTTAAAAATAGTTAAGTAAAATCTGGTACCTGAGCTTTGTCCAAGCATTTATCCTCTAGTGGGGACTCGAGTACTTGTTGACAGCCCTAGTTATAAAATAATTATAATTTATTTTTCTCTAAAAAAATGAGATTTTGATTTTATGTTTGCTATAAATGTGCTTTCTTAATTTCAGATTGTATACTTCTGCTGTAAACTTTAAATAATGAGTCTTAATTTGAAAGTAGCCCAGGGAATTCTGAAGCCAGAAATATTTCATTCTTACATACGAGCATGTCAGCAAATGTTATCAATTAATCAGTCGAGCAGAAGGAGACTTTACTCACAAATTCCTAGCAGCCAATCCGATGTTAGTGAAGAAAGTGAGGATTTCTTTGGCATACCAAAGAACTACAAATTGCAACATATCCGAAAGAATGAAATATTGTCTTCAACTCTAAAAATTAAAGCTGAAGGTGAACATTCAACAGATTCAACTGTGAATAAAGTTGATGACCAGGATGCTACAAATGAAAAAACAAATGTGGATTCACAGATGAAACCTCTGTCTAGAAAGGCAAGGAGACGCTTACAAAAAAACATACAGGGATCAGAAGTTGCAACTACATTTGGAATAATGGCATTTGATAAACAAGCTGGCGACAAATTACCTTTAAATGCTGAAGATCTAACTCGGAGGGCAAAAGATGTGCTTCAGAGCACGTACTTGCTCCCTTCACATTCTTCTCTCAGATTAAGCAAGAAGAATACTCCACATGAGCAGGAAGTGAGCAATCGTCCACCGTCACAATTTCAATCTAAGAAGGATGTTAAACTAAAGCGGTCTCAGTCACCATCAAGTACTCTCAGTGAGGATTTAAATGCCTTTGATGAGAACTTTTCCCCTGGAGGTGCTGAGAACTTTTTCCCTGGAGGTAGTGTGAAAGAAACATTTATCTCATCGATCAGCACCAATATAACTTTAAATAAGCCTGCGCACAACCTTTTTGAAGAACAGTATTTTGGAACAGAGACTACCGACATCCCTACGAGGGCTGAAAAAATAACTGCAGCTCCAACTCCAAACAGGGGAGAATCTTTGACATGTTTGAATGATTCCCATAATGTTAGTCTTACAAATTTGAAGTCATCCAATCCTAACGAAGCCAGTTCATCATCACATAATCTGTTTGAGGAGCAATACTTCGGAGCGAACATCGGGCCTGCGGAGGTTTCATCAGTTGAAGCTCCAAAATTCAGATCTGAAGCTGATAATAGTAATCAAAACAGCAAGCCTGAAGATGGAGGTGATTTCATAATGGACTCTGGTTTTAATGAAGTAGATAAGCAATATTTTATAGGAAGATCAGAAAATGGTAATTCACTTCAGTCACCTTCATTACATGAAGTTATCAAAGTTTATGCAGGTAGCACAGATAAAGTGATACCAATGTCTAATCCCAAAATTGTTAGTTCAAAAGGTACAAGCACTAAAATCGCAGAAACAAAATCTTATTCAGAAGAAATTGAAAGGATACCGAATCTTCATGAAAAGGCTCCAGCACTTGCTGAATCAGTTGAAGGAGGGCTTTCAAACACAGAACCCACCATCAAATCAATAGAAGTGCACAGGAGTGATGATTTTGTGAAAAAGTGGAGAGGGAAGAGAAGAACCGTGCCGGCAGCCCAGCAGGAGGAAAAAGAAACCCAGCTGGCTTATGATGTGGCTATGAAAATAAGAGAAGCTCTCAAGGGCAATGTTAAAGACTCTAAGGAAAAGGAAGGTGTTGCACAATTTTTGGCTGCAGCAGCATCAGCAACGACAGAATCAGAAAGTGAGTTTTTTTGTTATTTTTTACACTTTGTTGTTAATCAGGAGCTTTTGTCTATTATGTAAGATTTATAAGTTATAGTGATATCAAAGTATTTAAGTCAGCCAGAGGAAGATTTATGAACAATATAATCCTTAGCAGTTTAAAGATCACATCAGCTTTTGTGTGACTTGTACAGTTTGATCAAATTAACTGGCACGCTCATCTAAAGTCTGAGCGTCACATTCGTTTACCCTTGCTCAACGTTGACCAGATATCAGCCCTCCAAGATTTTTGTTGAGTTTAAAGCAGCAACAGGAATCCATTTTATACTAGCATCACCCTTGAATGAGAATAATGTATTAAATTTAAAGGATTTAAAAAAAAGATTTTTTTTTTAATATCTTTTTTTTTTTTACAGTAAAAGATGATCAAGACAAGAAATACTATGGCCAGGGGAAAAAATTAGATAGTAAAGGATTTAGGATATTAGATCCTGTGGTATTTGACTTGGAAAAGATGCCATCAGCTGACATTATCAGAATGTTGAAAGGGAGAATATTATTTGACCATGGTAGGTTAACTATTTACATTACTTAAGAGATACTATAGTTTTTTTTAAAGCCACATATGAGTCTCAATGTTCATTTGAATGGAGCAGCAACTGCATATTTTTTAATAATGTTTTTGCTTATTACCCTTTTAAAAATGATCAAATCTCATCTTACGTTTTTAAAATTCTTACTATTAAATAATTTTCTCTGAGAAGTTTACCATGCTATTTTTGGTTATTTCATGAGGTTCATTCACCTTTTGCACATTGAGCTAAATTTAATCCAATATAACTGCAATATAATATTTAATTTAAAAGTTTTCAATTTGTCTCCTTTTATAGAGCTAAATTTAATCAAATATAACTGCAATATAATATTTAATTTAAAAGTTTTCAATTTGTCTCCTTTTCTAGAGGATTTCTTAGCCATTGACAAACCTTATGGACTTCCATCTATCAGTGAGTTAACAATATCTGTCTGAAAGTTAATACATTTTTCATTACATAATTATTTGAATAATTTCATGGTTTTCATTACCAATGAAATAAATTCACATTGAAACTGTGCCAAATATAGATAAACAATTAGGCTTTTTTTTTTTGACATGGTGATTCCAAATAAAAACAAGGAGGCTTCTTTTACAGGCCCATGTCCAGTTGCTATGTAATTGGTTATTTGATCATGTGGCATTCATATAACTTTATCTCCATGGTTACATTTCAAAAGTTAATACATTTTTCATTACATAATTATTTGAATAATTTCATGGTTTTCATTACCAATGAAATAAATTCACATTGAAACTGTGCCAAATATAGATAAACAATTAGGCTTTTTTTTTTTTTTGACATGGTGATTCCAAATAAAAACAAGGAGGCTTCTTTTACAGGCCCATGTCCAGTTGCTATGTAATTGGTTATTTGATCATGTGGCATTCAGATAACTTTAGCTCCATGGTTACATTTCAGGTCAGCGCAATGACAGAGTCAGTGTTTGTGAACTGTTGCCTTCTTTTGCTGAAACTTTGCCAAAAAGTTTTAAAGTTAGCAGCTTGCACCTTGTTCAGGGACTGGACCGTGACGTCACCGGTGCTGTCATTCTGGCCAAGTGAGTTCATAGCGAGTTTTGATTCCTTAGAGCGTAGAGACTCTTTCAGATGTTGGGGTTCAACATGATTTCAACCGTTCCCCTACCTCTAGTGTGGTTTATTTGGATGGCAACGATGTAGAATTACTGATCTGAAGAACCCATTCACCGTTTCATGCAAACACTTTTTTCAGTTGTATAATTGAGTAGTTCTTCAACACTTTTCATCTTAGGGGATCACTAGAGCTAATTATCATTAACATTCCACAACACATATTTCAAGTTTAGAAAAAAAATATAGGCTGTTTGGGTGTCAAGCAGTATCAAAGCAAATTATAATCACTAAAGCTTAAAGATTTAATGTTGAGTTCCTCCAATAACCTTTTTTTTTTTTAAAAAAGCATTTTCGCTTATATAAGACGCATCTTGTACAAGGTTTGTTTACATCCGTCGGGTGATGAAACTTTGGACAAATTTTCATTTATTATAAAGGAAAGGAAATCCCTGGATATAAATTGCTCAGTGTGGCAGATGGCTTGGCCATGTTCATCTAATGAAATTTTTGTTTTCACAAATTTTCAAAGCCAGTGTCTAATATAGTGATGCGTCTTATGTAAAATATTTTTTACACAAATCATTAAAAACCCAGGTCTTATATGCGTGAAAATACATAACTTCAATTTTTATTATTTTATATCAAAATATTGCAACACACGCATTAGTTGAAAACAGCTGGTTGTTATTTTTTGTTGCTCTTGATTTAAAGAAATCCTGAGGTGGCTGCTTTGCTAAGGGGGATGTACAACGACAGTGAACAAATAATACAGAGGTTCTGGGCTATTACTAAAGGCGTACCAAGTCTACCAACTGGACTTATAGACATCCCTGTCGGTGAAGGCAAGGTTGGGGATATTTATAAGGTAAATGAATGTAGAAGACATTTAAATTAAATAACTGCTCTTTTTGGTGCTGCAGTAAGTACCTCTCATCAAGCTGTGAACAGAACAGCGTAGCATAAGTTAATTATTTGTCGTGGCGATAATTTTGTTATGCTATTGTTAAAAAATTTGATTAGAAAATGTACTTTCTGTGAACAGTTTTGCAGTATTTATACTGAAATTTTATTGCCAATATTAATCTCATGGATCAATTGTTTAATTTAACGTTTAAATATGATAATATAAGATATATAGGTTCAAATTTCATGCAATGCTAATCTTATGTTTAATCTGGATATTTGAATTGACATTGATATTTAATGCAACAGTTTATACATTTCTACAATACATGTATCATCAGGAATTATGGAGCCTTAAAAATTAGAGAAAAGGTTTGAGAAATCATAGAAAAATGTGTTATAATTTCAGCAGCCTTTAATAATAACCCTTAACTTAATAGTTTTATATTATTATATCCCCCAAAAAATCATGAAATATCAAAGATAATTATTAGTCTTGTTTCCAGCTGCCCTAACAACTTTCAAGGATGTCATTGTTAGTGATTTTCAATGTCTTCTGTAAAAGTGCCTGGTGCCATGAATAATTGAATTCACCATGGCAGTCATTACGTTGGATATATAACAGTTTACTATGAATTAATTTGTATCTCTTCCAGATGATGTTGCGGCCAAGATATTCAAAAGAGCAGAAGATTTTGGCCCATACAAGCAAGGCTCCCAGTAAAAAAGCCGTCACAGAGTATAAAATCTTGAGCCAAAACCTCCAAGCAGCTCTCCTTGAGTGCACACTTCATACAAGTAAGGAACTATTACATTTAAACAAAATTTCTGTAACTCTTCAACCGATAAAAAAAGTTAGCTATATTTTCCAAACCTTTTTAAAAAGAAATATGTTAATATAATTGGTGAAGCTATTTTTAAAAATTATTCTCTCTCTCTCTCTCTCTCTCTTTATGTATGTATATATATACACACACACACACACACTATACTACTTTACATCAATTTAAATATTGAAAAAGAAATGAAAAAGATACATATCTGATTAAAGTTAAATGTTAGTTGAGATATTTACATATAGCCTATACTGGAAAGCTGCACAGCTCATCGTTGAGTTATGTTATAATATTGTTATTGTCATCATACCCTTAGACCTTTAGGTTTGTAGCCATGTGTCACATATATTTTAAATATGTTATGGGGAAGATTGTTCACTGCACACTCAAAACACCAAATGTTAACAGTCGCTAAAAGAAAAATTACCAATGCACTTTGTGTGCATTAGACAAAACCTATGACCACTGAGTGGACTTTAAGTTTGGTGTGAAACAAAAGTCAAAAGTTTTTGCAAGAGCTGAGGAGCATTAGGATATTTGGCAGTGGATAAAGCTAATTGTGTCCCCCAAAAAATAGATAATAATGTAGATGCTGGCAGCACTAAGAAACTACTAGCATTGGGCAAGAATTTTCTCAAAGAAATGGATTTATCTACAAATTGTATCTCTTTTTTTCCCCATTGTTCAAATTTTAATCATTTCATTTTCAACCCTCAAATATTATTGTAATGTTTATGTAGAAAAAAAGTATGCCTTTTTTGCAGATAACATCAAACATCAGATCAGACTTCACTTAGCCAGTGGACTCAACACACCAATACTTGGAGATCACAAATACTCTCACTTTGATACACTTGCTCCACAGGTAAGAAGGGACAGATCCTTGTTGATACCTACATGCAATCAATATATTATATTTGTACCTGTTTAGTTGACAATATTTAGATATTAAAATTGGCTAGTATTTAATTTTTAAAACCAATATGAAATTGTCTTATTTGCAAACCTTTAATTGATATGGAATCTATTAAGAGGCTTTTTGTTCACTTGCAATTATTTTGGTATCATGTTTATTAAGCAGTTTTCACTTTGATTTTTATAAGCTTACTGTTCTCTTTATTTATTTATTTATTGCAGATGTAAGAGAGTTTATATAACTTGCAAAAACACATATGTTATCTTCCATAAATTAACGATAACGTGGAGACATATATTGGCAGAGAGAGTGCATAACAAAATGAAAATGTTTCTATTTTTTCCAGAGGTTACATAAAGAAATGTTGGAAAGGTTAAAAATTCGTCAAGCAAAAGTGCGTCACCTGGCTCTACATCTGTACTGCAAATCTGTTGTTTTAACCAACTACAAAGGACGCATGATTTTCCTGACGACTCGGCCTCCTGAACACTTTAAAAATAGCTTAAATGCATTGAAGCTATACGTTCAAAAATGATACTTTTAATTAACGAATAATGAAGAGTGGATAATGACAAATCAACATGTGAACATAAAAAATATGTGATTTAAACATTTAACTAGATCCTCTCATTATTAGTAATCTCTGTTATTGTTATCTGGAAATCTAACCATAATGGAGTAAATTAATAAATAGATTTATTTTCAAAGTCTCTGAATTCTTTGACTTAGGTTATTTTTTTAATAATATTTATTAAAGATTGTCTTCCCTTTTAGCTATTTTAAAACCCCCAACTAGACATGTTAAAGTTTTGACTATAAGTAAGAAAAAGTTTGGACAAAATTACAAGTTTTTATTCATGGATTAAATGTTCATGGATTAAACTTGAAAATTAAATAACCTTGTTGATCTGGAATGTGTCAAAAATATTTTTCTGTTATTAAGGTATCCCATTTTTTTTTTTTAAAATGCATAATCCACAACCCTGGTAATTTTATGTCTTCCCCTTGTTAAAACCATAGTAAGGGCTCAAGGCAAAAAAACATTGATGTCAGGTTTGCACAGTTTGGAGAAAAATTAAAAATAAAGTTTGAAGACTCTTCAGGCAAATATAAAAATGTCACAATATTGGTCAACAGCAAGAATAGCCATATCTAATTAATATTTAACACCAGAGTAGTGAATTTGTTTTTAAGAATTGTAGAATTAAAATAAAAAATAAATTTTAAACAATGACATCACTGATTTTTCCCTTTTACTGTATGAATGTGTATTTTTCCTGTAAAAAAAAAACAACAACCCGCCTTAAGCTGCTTCTTTCATGTTGGCTTTTAGTTTAGTTATTCAACACAGAATGAAAATGTTATCAGACCACAGGTGGGAAAAGAAATTTTAATTTTTAACACATTCAAAACATTTTTTTTATGATCCACCATGCAGTGCAAAAACCTTCAGTGTCCAATTTTTGTCTTGACCAGCACAGAAATAGCAACACAGCTGCACGTTTGGCACTTCTGATGAAAGAATATTACAAAAAGAATTCATACAGTACCGCATAGAAGAAACATCATCAGATCCTTTCTTTGTCATATAGTCTCATTGGAGTCAGATTGTTAATTTCAAAAGTGAACAGGCACAGCTGCCTCCTGTACTAAACATCAATTGTTGAAATGTTTGGGCAACTCAAGATTCTTCTGGAAGTCCAATGCAATCGCGGCTTGTGTTTTTTTTAACTCTTTAGGGGCTATTTGTTGCAGAGGCTTCTCTGTCACAGGAAATAGAAGACCAGGGCCTTTCTAAAGTGCATTTTCTTTTTCCTATGAAATCCTTGCCACCTCCTCCTTATCTGTGTGCCTTTCCTGGATGATGGATGCTTAATTCATCGCAGGTGGAGCTGGTGTCCTTTCTTAGGAAGCTAAATCCCATATGGATTTTTTCTGTCTAATTTCTAAACTTTCCTGCAACACAGAGCATGTCATATTCTCTGCACTCTACTTCTCCTAGAGACCGACCGAAAGTGATTTTCTGATTTCGGCCGAAGCCGAAAATAGGCCGAAAGTTTAAAATGACTTTCGGCCGAAACCGAAAAAAGGCCGAAAGTTTAAAAATGACTTTCAGCCGAAACCGAAAAAAGACCGAAAGTTAAAAATGAATTTCGGCCGAAACCGAAAATGAAATATTAAGATATTTTGAAATTCGTTCCCGCATACATTCTGCTTACATCGAAAATGATGTGGGAAAATATAAATATTTACATTCTTTTTATAAAAATGAGATAATCGTAAATATTAATAAATAAA